GTAATGCCGCAATCTATCATACCAGCCTTCCCACGATTCACGACTAATAACACTCCAAACAAAGCCTTGCTCATCCAAAAGCGCAACATGTTCCGCAGACAATTTGCCTTTTGTTTTTGCTGCACGCTGATTGCTGACCCAACTGCCGAGGCTGTAGCCATCTGGGGTTTTGTATGCTTTAGGCACTAGTACGTCGCCATATTCTTCTTTGTAATCTCGCAATCTATCATTCCAGCGTTCCCATGATTCATGACCATTATAAATACTCCAAACAAATCCTTGCTCATCCAAGAGTGCAACACGTTCCGCAGCCAATTTGCCTTTTGCTTTTGCTGCACGCTGATTGCTGACCCAAAAGCCGAGGCTGTGGCCATCTGGGGTTTTGTATGCGTGAGGCACCAGTATGTCCCCCTTTTCCTCTTTGTAATGCAGCAATCTGTCATACCAGCTTTCCCAGGTTGTCGGAAACCTTGCCAAGACGGATGGTAGGACCCGAAGCTCAAGCAATTCCGCAGCTTGTTCAACTGCCATCTCCTCCGAAGTGGCCCCGGGAAGCCCACCAGCTTGAATAGCCAAGGGCAAGGTCTGCCCCGTTGATTTTTCCGCCAAATATCTCCGAAACACGTTATCAACACTTGCTAGCTCTTGAAGCAATCGTCTCAACTCTTGATCTTCAGTCAAATTACCACTTGCAAGATTGACGACAATGGGTGGCGCGATGACAAGGGCATCAAGCTTTCTTGACTCCCTTCGAAGCACCCGCCCAATGCACTGTCTAAACCTGATACCACGCCTCGGGGCGACAAATAAGCAAGTGTCTGCCCATGGTAAGTCAACGCCCTCGCTGAGAACATCCACGGTGACCAGGACACGAATACCTCCACCTCCTTCACTCAATGCAAAGCTACTCAAAATGGCTTGCCTGCGTGACTGTTTGGTTTCTGCATTGTAGTGGTCTGCTGGAATGCCAGCAGCAATGAGTAGCTTGGTGAACCGCTTCGCTTCGTAGACTGTGTTGCAAAACGCCAGAATCTTCCTTGACAAAGGAAGGTCCTGAATAATCTCTACCAGGCTGGGACGTGGATCCCCTTCAGAGATCACGGGGACCACAATGGAATAATCCTGGATGACGCCAGCTTCAATGGCAGGCCTGAGGCTGAAGTCGAAGTCTGGAAAGTTCTGGAGGAGGGTAGCCGAGAAGAAGAGACGCTTGTCTGCTTTCAGCGACAAGACCTGTCTTAAGTGAGGCCCACAAAGATTGGTGGAATCAGAATGCAAACTTGGTTCGTAATGATGAGCCTCATCAAGCAGCAGGAGATCAAAGGAGAAGTTCTCAAGTTGCCATGCTGAGTTTCGCACACAAACAAACACATCGGCTGTTAAGTTGGCCCTCCATCCCGTACCAACCCGAGAAATGCACATCGATGGCAGAACATCTTCCAACATGACTGTCATCTGTTCCATCAAATCCAACTTTGGGACAATCACGCAAGCCTTTCCTGCAGGACCTAAGTTAGCCAAAAGATCCGCCATGACCAGGCTCTTCCCCGTGCCAGTGGCCATCTGCACAAAGAAGTCCTTCTTTGCCATCTCCGATTGGTTCGCAATAAAAGCTCGGCATTGCTCCAAGCAGTCTTTCTGATGTGGCCAGCGCTCCATCTTGTTTGACACCTGTCTACTGGGTGGATACCAAATCAGCACCATCCAATTCCAAGTTGAAACAAAACATCTATACCCAAACCTGTGGATTTTGCCAATAAAAAACATGAGTATGTATGCTCCAAAGTTCTCCACATATAATCTAAGTTCTTCTATTGTCCCTTTAATTGCCTTCTGCACCCTCCTTTTTACCCCCGCATCCACCTGGCTTTCCGCTCTCCCATGCTCTCGCTTCTGCGCCGCCGCCGCCGCTCGCCAGGCATCGATCTCCTCCGCGGTGTAGGTTCGCTGCTCGGCGCCGGTCCAGCGGAGCCAATGCTCGGGGAGGCGGGTGCTCCGGTTCGTGGCGACGATCAAGTGCTGCACATAGGGCTGCAAAGGAGAGAACTTGGCCTCAGGGATGGGGGACTCTGTCTTCCTAGCTGTTTCTGATTTCTTTATCTTTGTTTTTGTTAAGAGAAGTGATAGATGCAAAAAAACGATATGTATGGAACATGGTTGATTCTTCTTGATTGGTTTGACTTTTGAACACATACTATATTCATCCTGAAAACAGCTTCATTGATCTTTAAGGTGTCCAGTCAAGAATGAGTGAGTGTCGAGTGTGAACACCAAGCGTTGTCTCTTCTATTTTACTTTGACTACACAGATTCAACACAACTTTTGTCTCCCTGCTCCTGTGCCAGCATGTAGAACGTGCCCAAGCGATTCCCCGGCACCCTGTTGGCATAGTCCTTTGCTTGAACCGCCACTGACAGGTTCAAGGCCAACGAATCGATGCCTTTGTCTTGAAAGGGTAAGCCCAAGTGCCGTTTGAGCTTGGCCTCGGCTAATGCTCTCTCGTTTTCATAGAGTGTTCCGGCTGTGCTGGTTGGTTGCAGCTCAAACACCTACAGCTATAGTAGTCAGTCAAACTGAAAAGCCTCACTCCCTGTGATACCTGTGATTCCAAAAAGGAAGTGGTCTTGACTGAGTAAACAAAACGTTGACGTTCGAAGGTTCACGTGTTCATCGATATTCACAACTGACCTGTTCAACTGGTGCTGCCAATCTACTGTGCCCTTCCTTCCGTATATGTTGTCATTTTCTCTGACCCACCAAATCGCCAGCCATAAAAA